TTCAAGCGCAGTACCCGCGAGCTGGCACAGGAGCTCAATAGCCGTCACGAAACAATAGCTGCCCCTTCCATCGTCTCAGAAGGCTTAGAGATGCAGCTTATGGTTATCACATGAACTCCAAATGAGATGAGATGCATGCCAGAACTTATTGACTTGCTGAAGCAACTTCGCATGACTGGACGACCTAAGCACCTGCGACGAGAAGTAGGTTCCCTAGTTAAACTTCATGAGAAAGCGTGAGATGCTTTGACGCGGAGAGCGTAAAACTCCGTCCCGCACAGCAGAACTCCAACCTATAAAGACAATGCACAGCATTTGGTGGGTTTCGAAATGGATAGCTCAATGGAAGTTGCTGCCAATGAACTTCGCTGTCACCGCCACAGTACAGAGAACCCGCCTGAATCGCGTAGCGCTGCCCCTACAAGTTGACCCATTGGCGACCGCGCCTTTTTAGCGTGTCTGGCGTGTGGGACCGAGCGCGCTTTTCGCTGGCTGCTGCTGTGGCCCGCTGGTGGGCCACACGGTCCTAGGAACAAGTTTTTTCGTAAGCATTTCCAGTCGGCAAAAAAGTTTTTTTAAATGTGGCATGTAAAGGATATAAGTCATACACACTATTTAGAGCGACGTTATGGCATCTAATGTTGACTGTTCAAAGGGAGTGAGAGTTTTTACGAAATCATTTCCAAATGCGACTCTGTCTAGACAAGAGGAAGCAGACAAGATGAGAATGACATGTTTCGAATCATCGAATGCCTCAGCAAAGTCCCTATACATCCTTTTAACATAAATTTGGTCACCTNACTGTTCAAAGGGAGTGAGAGTTTTTACGAAATCATTTCCAAATGCGACTCTGTCTAGACAAGAGGAAGCAGACAAGATGAGAATGGCATGTTTCGAATCATCGAATGCCTCAGCAAAGTCCCTATACATCCTTTTAACATAAATTTGGTCACCTTTGGTTTTGCTCCTTTAACAATGCCCTCAGAAGTAACTTAGTTTTCTGTTAATACTAAAGTGAGAAGTAAACGTTTCACGGACCACTGCGCGTCAAGATTCCATAGTAGGTCGTAAACCTGCTCGATACTTGAAAGGGTCAAAGAAATCGAAAATGAATGTTATACATGGAAAATAAACCTGTGGCCCGTATACGGGCCACGCGGTCGTCAATGGGTTAAACCGCGTGTTTCTACTTCCTTCACGACAATGCTCGCCCACACATTACGAAAAAACCTCGGAATCTCGAGTATTCTGCGCAAGCGGGATCCACAAGTTGCCTGATAAACGGCAATGTGTTGTCGATAATGAAGGTGCATATAATTGCTAATTAATGATTGCTGTGAATGAAAAAACTAATTTAAAAGCAGGCAAAATGCGCAAAGACTTTTCCGATAACCTACTAGAAGCTAGCACCAAGGATACGATGACCCGATCCCGTTAGGACTTTGGCATAACAGTAACTTCCGATTGAAGATGATGTGGTCTATTTCATTATGGAGCTGTCTAATAAGTAAGAATATTCTCTTTATGCCTTTCAGGATTGAAATCCTTCATAAGGTCAACGTTTCTGCAGCTTCGTCTCCATCAGAGCCTAAAACGGTCCAAAGCGTATGTGGCTTGCTCGCTCGTCCGCCTCAATAGGACCCACTTCTCATCTCCAGTAATCATCGAGTTGAGAAAGCGGAGCTCCCTTTGGAAATTGTCAAGAGAAATGCAGGTGGCCACCTACCTCGAAGGACATAAGTGGGCAGTTCATGTGTGACCCATCGACCAAGCTTTGCTACCTTGCCTAGCATGGGCGCCATTTCCCTGGTGGTTAGGAACAAGTGCTCCCTGGTGGTTAGGAACAGGTGCTCTTCCACGACGGAACTTAGTACTTCTAAATCCAACTCAATCGGACCCGACCTCGGAGCATCTTCAAGAAAAACTTCCTCTCTCGAACGTGGCGAACCACGTCTTGCATGGGGGGGGGGGGGTAAGAGATGACATTCTCGCCCCATGTTTCCAGTAGCCTGGCATGGGTTTCTTGTGCATTCTAGCCGAAATCGTGAAGCAAAGCAGGCTGTGGCGCCGGTACATTTTGTCCCAGTGGTAACTGTGCGACATTGTCGTATGCATATGCAGGGTGGGTGAGTGATAGGGAGATGAAAGAGTACCATGCACACGTCCCGCACACATAATTACGAAATACCAACATCCATGCGAGTGGAATATAGAAGGACGAAGCACGCTGAAAAAACTTGTGCATTAACCTAACAGAAGAATCGCTAAGCTTTGGCATCATATCCATCTTGACAATTTGCCTGACGGCACTCGCCCCTTAAGCGATTCCTGGGCACGAAAATTCTGAGTTCTCTTAGTCATCCTGGAGATGAAATGAATTTCACATGTTTGCAAATACCTCGTTGAATCGAAACGCTCCTACAATGAGTTAGTTATGATGTCCGAACGATCAACTCTTACCATCCGTTTCAACCTGTCACGACTTTTTTATATATAACAATGCTCATTTGGAACATACTTACTAGTCTTTGGTCTCAATTGCAAGGCAGATCCATTAACCTTATCCATTCATCATTTTTTTCTCAAGTTTTACTAACCGTTTTGGGAATGAAAACTTTTATTTGAAATTGAACAGCGCTGATGGTGAATTTCGCTGTTGAGCTGCATTGAGTTTCTTGAACATCAAAAACTAAAAATTGTTATACATAGGTCTCGCCCATCTTCGCATTTTTAAAAGGATAGTTGAACTTAACGATTTTACAAAGTGTCACATTTTCAGTGCCATCTTCTTCCCAACCGCATACTGCATGTTCAATGTGACGTAAGTGCATGGATCTAACTCGATTGGCTTTCATCTATCGAACAGTTTTCAGTTACTGGAGCTACTACTTATCCAGTCTTTCCGCTGTCGATGAGGACGTTGTGCCTCTTTGATGCAGTCATTATTTCGATCATATTCTTTTCTACTACTGTTTTGAATGAATCCATTTCCAAAGCAAAGAGTGCACTGGATTCTTTGTCAATGTATGATGATTATCACTGAGTGCGTCATCTTCCTTCTAGATGAGGCAGCTACAGAAGTGGTTTGCAATAGACCAAAATTTTATGTCTGCTTCAACTAGAAACTTTATACTTGACATCATCATTTTGCTCGCCATCATCTGCGAGTGCTTCTTCAGATGCAGAAGTCGCTGCAAGGCCAGCTTTTGGCTTGGTAGGTGTTCGTGGATACCACAATGCGTCACGTATTTGGGCTGTGTAATAGAGAATTCCACGAACAAGATTCAGAGTCAATGTAAGCACTCTCTGATTGCTCTCAGAATTCAATGTAGGACCGTGCACGATAAGCTTCTTCTCAATTCGCTGTCTTATGGCCACATTTGTATCGGACATTTCTTCCACGCGACTGATCTGCGTTCAGATTTTTAGAAGAAAGTATTTCGTACATTTAGAATAAACCAAACAAAACCTGGTCATTCAGTTCCGATTTGTCGATTTGACAGCGCTCTGCGAATTTTAGCATGGCTGACTCTAGCTCGGACAATCGCTTCACGTATTTGTCTTCCCAGTTCTTCACGGATTCTCTAATTCGTCGAATTTTCTCGTCCTAGATGGAACGATTGCTGTACATTAATTTTGCTATGAACTGTCAAACTCCTGCTACCTGTTGTGTTTACGAACAGCTAAGAGACTAGTGATTCCGGTATTAGTCCTACTCACAAGTTCTCTGCCAACCAACAGCCTCTGTGAAATGAAGAATGTACCTCATTAAAAGGTTTCCACCGCTTCAGTCATGACTCATCGTCAGCTCGATTATAGGACCATCCGGCAACGGACCATTTGTGCAGTTGGAACGTGATCGCGCTATCGTGCCAGTACTCACAATCAGTTGCGGATTGAGTGACTCAGCACTCATTCTTTACTCTGTATCTTCCAGACACAATCTCAATCGAGTACTTCTATTAATAGTACAATACAATAAATACATAGCACTACAACTTGCTGGGTTGAGATTGATTCATCGTTCCTGCAGATAAGCAGAGCGTCAGGAAGCCCGACTCGAAGAGTTTCTGCAAAAGACGTGCAATGCAGAAGAACCCCATAGACACAGCACGAATTTATCGAGGTCATCGACGAGGCCGTACGGTATAAGCACTACGCAACACGTTGAAAGGTTTCGAACCAAAAAACGAAGAGCTCGCTAGAGAGATTCACGAATCCGTCGGAATTGGCCATGAGCATAAAAACGGAGGAAGTCGATCAGGATGTCTAAAAAGCAAAATCTGACATCGAGAAGACCAGCTACCAAACACTTCTCATGGTAAGACGGGCAGTAGGAATGGTTTTGTGTAATCGATCCGCCACATGCCGCTGCTGCGGACCATTTGCCTCATTATAACAGTTCTAGCGTTCTTCATACAGCTTAATCGCTATGCGAATGTTACTCATGGCTTGATTCTACTGTTAGTTCTTTCGTCCCACATCGCGCCACACCCGTTCTCGTGAAAATTCGTCAACGCGATCAACAATCCGACGAATTCATGAACGAAGTGAACAGGAAGCTGCATGCCATAGAGCGGAAGATAGTAATCCTGTCGTCGTTCAAGGCATCAAGACTCGTATGGATAAGAAGCGTTACTAAAAAATTGAAGGGTGAGGTCTTCGCCAAAATCGGCGAAGTACAGAGTACGAGCCGCAGTTCACAACACCCATCATTAGTCGCCTCAGAAGGTTATTCTATGCACGTTGAGCCAATTCTTGAAGCCATAGGTGCCAATTAGACGGAGCACACAAAGGAAATCATTTCGGACATTTTCTCAATCGGACATAATATCAAGGAAGCACAGAAGGCTGAGGCCTCACCTGCGAGGCCAACAAAGATCGACGCCCTCAGAAAAGAAAAATTCCAGCTCACTGACGAAGAAATGAAGTTCAAGCAGAAGGTGAGTGATGCTGGCTGAATGGAAAGAGCACTACGTCGAGAGGATCATCTCGCACAACTCGTAGGGATACTTCACCTCGAAGAAGTCTCATGGATACTTCACGTAGAAGCAGTCGTGAATCATATCGTAAGAGTCGTCAGCATACTACACGTCCAAACAGTCGCGGCTCACCTCAAGGAATTGTAAGGAAACGCCACGTCGGAGCAGCCACCACTGGTCGCCCAAGCGTAAATAGAAGGGGAAGTGGTTACGACAAGCGACTGCTTATCGGTCTGATTATCTAAAAGAGAGCAAAGAGTTACAAGGACTGTATAACAGTCCTTGTAACTCCTGCACCCTACCCAAGACAAAAGAGCCCAACGTCAATGCATTGTTGTATGTCCTAGAGATGCGCGAAACTGATTAAGGTCTCGGCAGGTGGCACGGATAAGTCAATGATGTCAAATCTGCCTGTTCTACCTTCAGCTTGTTGAAACGAGAAACAATTATAGCCGCATTTATTTCCTTCAAAATCTCTCAGCAATGGCTCTTTCCCCGGTCAATCATCAAAAACTATTTTTATTACCTTGACATCTTGAAGAACCCTATTCAATTTTTCTAGCCGACGCTCTAACTCATTGTCACGTAAATCAATCCATGTCAGCGATTTCTCAACATGCCTGCAAATTTGCACGTTATTTAGCCATGTACTTCCTCATGAACTGAAAGCTTCAAACTGACATCTGCAGCGTGTCTCATAAGTATAAGGTCACTCTCAAATTTTGTACTTCCACACGGGATAGCCAGGCAAATGTGTTTTAGCGCTACTCTTGGCCGGCTGTCAAGAATGGCAAATAGATATCCTGTAAGCCTCCATTTGGACAGTTAGTTCCCGGACCACTTGAATATATTACAGTTATTCAACTGTAATATATTCAAGTGTGGTCCTGGAGATACTTTTCACAGATAACAGGGCTTGCAATGGGACAGCGGCTGGCTCCGGTTCTCGCTGTCTGCTTTATGAGTAGAATCGAACAACCAGCGCTAGCACGCTTACGCATAATGTAATGCCGCTACATTGACGACTGTTTCGTCATAACATCAACACAGTCAGAAATGGATGAGCTGTTCAACATTCTAAACAGTCAATCGTAGTACATTAAGCTAACTCGAGAGGTCCCGCACGAAGGCTGGTTATCCTTTCTGAATACTCAGGTAAGGGTTGCCAGTGGAACATACGGTGTGAAATGGTATAGAAAAGGAAGCTCCAAGAATATTCTCATTCATGCAATGTCGGCACACCCCAGAGCTGTTAGATGCGCAGTATTACAGAACATGTACAGAACAGCTATGGAGGTGTGCACGAGTAACGAGGAGCGGGAAGAGTCCAGAAGGTTAGCACACCAAATAGCTAATCTGAATGGATATACAACTCGGCAGCATGGCTCACGAAGCAGATCAAGACCTTCTCCAAATGGAACTGAAGATAAGATGTATCTTCGATTACCATGTATCAGATCGATTCAGCATAGTTATTCAGCAATGCCTGAAAAGAGCGGATCTAGCCAATGATGTTTTCTTGCTTAACACACCAAGAGAAAACATTAAACACCAGTTGGTTAGAAATCGTCTCTATGACCGGACTTGCATCACGGATAACTGCGTGATCTGCCCGTATGGAAAAGTTGGAGACTGTGCTCAAAGAGCTGTGGTTTACCAGCTTCAGTGTTTAACATGTGATGCTTGCTATATTGGAGAAACTGGGAGAGGGTTATGCGTTCGTGTGAAAGAACAGCTAGCAAACGAAGGTCTTGCTCGCTTGCACCGCTTGGGAAGCACAGAAGAGAAGGTCATGCTGGTTGCGACTTTGACGTTAGATGCACGACTTTGTCCTACGATGACAGTATTGGTGCCAGAAAAACTCTCGAGGCTCTCTGGATAAGACACCGAAATCCGAGCTTGAATAACAAGAATGAGTGCATCAACATAACTGGTGACCTCTTGCTTACATCCCTCTGTGTGAGCTCTGATAGTAGAGACTGACACTTGTCACGTCACGATCTATCAAAGGGTCGTGGTTGACCGGGCTGTCCCAATTGCTCTACTGTTTCTGAAATTGAGCAACTGTTCGGTGTTGGTGGAATTGACGTAAGTGGCTTGTTGGAATTTCTCCTTAGTTGGTAGTTCATCGGTCTGAGTTGCAACTAGTTAAGAGCTAGTCTACGTCAAGCGTGATAGGTAACACTCCAGAGTTACGATACGCTTTCTGGCCTTTGATAAAGACGAGGTTGTCGAAACGTCAGACGAATAAAAGAATTCCACCATTAAAAAAAACCTGTATGGCACAGAAGCATTGACGAATAACAGTACAGATGCCCTGGTTTAAAGAAAGGCAAACATGGAAGTTATCGCCTAATTTGTTTGTTGCCTGTAATCTACAAACTTTTCACACGAGTCATCCTCACAGGATTGGCAGAAAGGACGGCCACGCGAAAAAGCAGGGTTTCGGAGAGGGATGGTTCACCACAATTGATGATATCCACACCGCTACAAGAGTCATTGAAGTGCCGCGAGAGCACAAATTGCCGTTATGTCGTACCGTAGAAGCGGTAATCGGAGCCCTTAGCAACCAGTGTAGTCCTACTCAATGAAGACCAGCCGATTCGAACGGCTAATGCCGGGCTTCCCTCCTTCTTTGACAAAACTGTAGTAATCAGCTAACTTTCCACTCCTTTTTCGGAATATGCAGTCTCCTGTTCACGACACATTGTCATAAAACTAACAGGGCAGTAGAGATGGTGTTTAGTGTAGGTGGGTGATTAGGCCGCTGAATGGAAGTCTCGATATTTTGCTGTTCCTTAATAATAAATACCCAATAAAGGTTTGACTATTAGGCAACCAAAGCCTTGGGCGGTACTCACAAATGTTCTGAGTGATGGTAAACCATTATAAGATGTCGTTATCGTTGGACCTTTTTCCTTGCGGAGATATCATGAGTTGAGAATTCCAGATTACTGGCGGTCGGCTACGTTTTGTCACAAATGATATGGAACAAAGAGGATCCTTCATTGAGCCACATACCTTGCTGGGTAGTGGCCGTAATCTAATAGCAAGAATGAACAAAATTCCCATTTGCTTATCGTATTGCCGCTAATGGTCCCTAACTCTGCACTTACCATTCACTTTTGTCATTCTACGCTAACATCCCGTCTTGTCGAATAAAACATACTGAACGGTCAAAGCTGCATCGTAAATACTGAAGACGTCAGGATTTTGATCGGTAGGTGGCCTCTCTCAGTCCCTTATCTTATCTGAATAATTATTATCAGTACCTGTCACCGAGTACTTACGATTCCCTCATATCCTGCAACACGTGTCAAAATGCCGAGGTTACACTGTTGATACGAAAAGTGTAATCGTACCACGTTTAATTGCGCTTGGTCCACGTAGAGATGAGTTATGAATTTGCGACCCGAAGTTTCTAGCGCGCACGCCTCGCCCCCCGTGAGTGGAGTAAGGTCGTGCCACCCACCATAAGTGTTCCAATCCTGCCTCCTGTACTCCTATGCAATTTTAACGCTATAGGTCCACGTAAACAAGAGTTGTGGAATTGCAGCCCAAAATTTCTATCGCACACGCCTCGCCCCTTGAAGGGAATTCGATCCTGCCACCCGCCGTAAGTGTTCCCATTCTGTCCCCCGAACTCCTACCATGGCCCGTATGCACAACTCCCGGGGTAGGGGAGGGGGAGGAAGTGTTTGTTTTCGCCGTGGGTCAGATAAGTGACGCTGGAGCGCAGTATTTTACGCTCCTAAGAGAGTGTTAAATTGATATCCGAAGCTCTATTTCTCGATTAGATGAACCGGAATTTGGAGAGCGTGTGGATTGTTGCCAAGGAAAAGCACTCTACCAAAGTGGAGGGGGGTTTTACTCTGAAAACGCTCAAGGAAGTAGCAAAAGGTTAGTATGTTCTACAAAATGCATTTTTAGGGTTGTGGAAACTTAGGAACGCGCATCCAGTTATCGTGCACCTATTGCAAAGAGACCTTAATTAAATGCGAATATTNAGCAATACTTGACGAATTCGGCAGCAGAAGTCAGAGGAATAAGCGCTCAGTCGAATAATGTAGGGAATAGCAGAGTTGCGGTCTACATGACCATCGGCGCCCCACTCTATTCTAGGGGTAGATTCCTCCCCCGGGGAGCCAATGGGGTCGGGCTTCTCTGAGCTCTCGCTAAGGTAAGGTCGCAGAGGCAAAACATCATATGATTATCGAGGGCTGTCGATTCCTCATCTGTTTATAGGAAAAAACATCGCTCCATTGTCACTATCTTGACCCAAAACCTACCATTTGAACGTTCGCGCCCTTCGCAAACATTTCCTTCCCTTCCCCTACCCCGGGAGTTGTGCATACGGGCCCATGTTTGAACGCTCTAAGTCCACGAGGACAGGAGTGATGAATTTCCTTTCAGACACACACACCGACACACAGACACATCGACCAACAGACAGACACACTTAGCGAATTATATATACTAGAATGCTTCGTGAGCTCTACAATAAGATTCACGAGGCATCAGAATGAAAGTCGACGACCGCTACTTACATCATCTTCGTTTGCAGATGACATCGTGCTTATATGTAACACCCGACATCGAGCAGGCTGAACAAATGTTGGTCGAATTCGATAACGCTTGCGTAAAGGTCGAACAACGGCTGAACCTAAAGAAGACGATGTTCATGCGAAACGGATTGGTACCTGATGCTTCCTCCATGCTGAACGGAACGAAATCTCTGATTGCTCTAGCTACGCGTATCTATTAAGTCCGGTATCAGGTGCACCTCCGCCACACAATCCTATTTCTTTCCTTACTTGACCAAGAACCCGCGACAATCTACAGACGTATAAGAAACGTTTAAAAAGAGGACGCTCATGCTATAAGCCCAGATAACAAGTGGCCCTCGAAGTTCACTCAGGCAACTGTTCCATCGAAGATGAAGACCGTCCGGGACGCCCAATGGGGTTGGATTTGGACGTGCTGCGGAGCCAGGGGGAAGCCATCGAACTACTCGTGAACTGGCAGTCACTCTTGGGGTAAGTCAGTCCACAGTTGTTCGTGGATTGAAGTTAATCGACGTGGGAATGCTCTGTCAATGGGTGCCTCATGCTTTGAGGCAGTATGACAGGGACCGCCGTGCTCACTGAGCATTTTCTCTCCTAACGCTCAAGCGCACCCACGCGTGGCTCGAGCATCTAGTCACCGCGGATGGGTAGCTGTTTCTCTACTCTAACGTTCACCGGCGTGCTCAATCGGTTGACCAAGGTGCGGATGCCGTAAATTTCCCTGAACCCAACGTACACGCCAAGAAGATTATGCTCTGCACCTGGTGGAGCGTTCACGGTGTCGAATACTGGGAGGTGCTAGACGAAGAATGTACAGCGACCGCAGACGTATACATCAAGCAATTGAGGAGTCTGAAGGCGAATCTCGAAGCTACACGTCGACAGCAGCACAAAATTTACTTCCAGCACGACAACGCTCGGCCGCACATTGCAAAACTGAGGCTGAACTAATGAATTCCGGCTGGGCACTTTTACCACACCCACCATATTCCCCAGACTTGGCTCCCTTAGATTACTACTTTTCCCATCTCTAACGTCGCGTGGATAGACAAGACTTTCAAACCCGCGACAACATCAAAATGGCATTCAAAAGTTCTTCAAGGGCGTTCTGTCCTCAGCGTTCTGGAGCAAGGGCATCTACGATCTGCCCAAGCGTTGGCAGAAGACCATCGATGCCAATGGAGGATATTTCAAATGATTCGCAACTGTCGTTCAAAAATTGTAAGATAAATTTAATCATCGTCAATTTGTCCGAGGAGTTATGACTTAACCTTATAGGTTGAGAACATGATGAACGACCTAGCACCGGAGCTGAGGATAAGGAAATGCGCGGCGCGGAGAGCATTTAGGAATACCGTGGGAGTAGTGTAGGAGACAAAGAACATCCGGCTCCACGCTCACCTTTTCGACACTGCGGTCCTCCCTGCTTGGACCGACGCCTCGGAGACTTGGACTCTACGAAAGCAGTATGAACATGCTCTCGGCATTACTCAACGCGCTTTGGAAAGGATGGTACTCGGAGTTTTCCTGCACACGCAAACGCAGAAGGGAATCCGGAGTTCCGAGCTCTGNCGACGAACAAAGATCAGGGATGCCATTGGATACACCAAGAAATCGAAAATCAGGTGGGCCGGGCACGTCATGCGATATAGTGATGACCGTCGGACCGGGCGGTTACGGACTGGATCCCTCGGAACGCCAAACGAACACCAAAACGGCCGCCGCTCCGATAGTCGGACTTCCTCACGAACACTCTGAACGGAAGAAGTATTTTGCCCCGTGTCGCTGTAGCGAGTACGATTCACTGGACTACTCTGGCTCGCGACCGGGACAAATGCAGACGTTACTGGTGCCAACTCTAGAAACTCGACGATCGACGGGACGACAGGTGATGCAGGTGTTTCTCATAAAAATAATAATGAAAGCAAATACTGTCGAAGGTTGTATGTAGGGATTATTCAAGGTGGTGAATCTGATAGTGTGTCAAAAAAGTATCGATGTCTTTTGGAAAGAAAAATTCGGGGGTGACTTTACACTTATGAGGCGCTCTGTATAAGTCCTCGAATAACATTTGTAGACCTACACTGACGTTAATTCTAGTGGTTTCTCTTTCGGTGAGGATTGAGCCTCTCCAAAGACTTCTCTAGGTTTCTCCTTTGATAACAAGATTTGTGGCTGCAAATATTTAATACCAGTCGGGCCGCCCGGCTAACGCCAGGCTTCCCTCCTTTCTTTGAGAAAATTGCTATGCGTAAATTAGACCTCGGATTCTCCTTTTTCTTTGAAAGCTCTACACCCTCAGTATTAGCTCCGAATTAGGAGCGACTTTTTCTGTGAGCCATCTTCGCTGTGTCCGAATAGAACATCGTATAATATCACACAGACGATTATTCAGAGAAAAAAAAAAGTATTCAGAGACTCATCGCGGCTGAGGCTACTATGTTAGCTACCATCAATGTTCATCATTAGTTATGAATTTGCGGCCCAAAACTCCTATCGCGCACGTCCCGCCCCCTGTGCACGGAGTCCGGTCCTGCCACCCACTATAAGTGTTCACAGCTGACGCCGGGCTCTCATCATATTGGGGCAAAGGAACTTCGCCCGAAAGACATCGAATTAATGAAATTCTTCTTCCTTTTTCTATCTAGGTTGTTTCGCTGTTTCTCTAAGAGAGAGTATGGACTATCAAATGCCTTCAGAGATGTACCTCCTTTTCTCTACGGATACATCATTAACCCATTGACGACCATGGCGTTTTGCGGGAAAACCGCCGCAAGGGACCGGCGCGCTTTTCGTCCACTCTCATGGTCCAGCATGACCATTTTTTTGAAGGTTGAAAGAGATATTTATAAGTTTTCGGAATGTTCCTTCGAATGGATTTGAAAAGAATGCCCACACTGTGTGATTATTGTTCTTTTTTATAGAACCGGCACTCAGTCTAGTGGACATTCAATTATCAGTTCAATCATTACCAGTAATCGTTTTGGGGGAACTATTACAAGTTCTGCATTTGGTCGATGACAAACAAAATGCTAATGACGACCGTGTTTTCGAAAAATCTCATTTTTTGAAGTTGTTCAACGAACGAAAAATTCACCAAGGTAATGAACTCCTTCGAAAAAACACCTTTACATTTGCAAAATTAGAAGATTTTCCAGGATCACGCTTTATGTAGTTTCATTTAGACCTGATGTAATGTTTCGAATAGAAAAACTGCAAAAAGTTGAAATATAGATGAATCTCTACTATATATAATCGACAAGTTTGGTGTGTCTGTTTGTTTGTATGTATGTTTGTCTGTCTGTCACACAATCCGGTTTTNCTACTCACCATAATCGTTCCCTTACTGCCCCCCGCCTCCTACCAAGTTTAAAAGCCCTAGAGCCAAACTGAAAATTTTGGCGCAAACCTCGCCTTCTATGAGCGGGGTCCGGTCCTCCCGTCTACGATAAATGTTCCGATCTAGCCGCCTGTACTCCTGCTAAGCTTGAATTGTCCTAGGGCAAATTGACTATTTCGGCGCAAAACCCCCCCTATGCAGGAGTCCGGTCTTGCCACTTACCAAAGGTGTTCCCTTCTTGCCTCCCTTACTCCTACCAAATTTGAAGCTCTAGGTTGGGGACAGGAGTTATGAGTTTCTGGTCGGACACACACACCGACACACAAACACATAGATTAGCGAATTATATAAAGTAGGATGTTTGTGACTTGCTAGGGTATCCCTTCATTTAGATATCCGTCGCAACAAAATTAATCCGACCACCAAAATGTGGAAATCGGCAGGATGGGTCATGGGCTTTGATAGTAGTGTTATCAACAGTTAAGAACAGAAATAAGTACCATTCGAAATTTTCGGTTGATCAGACAGGTTGGTCAGCCAGAGAGAAGTCGCTATGCCAGTAAAGCTAACAAATAAAAGAGCTTGAATATCAACGGTGTTAAGACCGGAGCAAATGATATTTTTTTCAAAAACGCTGGAGGGGAAAGGGCAATATTGATGAAGGAGAGCTCAACAGGAACACAACCAAGTAGCTAATATGTAAGTTGTTTACACTCATGCGCTAAATAAATTCAAAAGAAAGCGACGGGTCAGCCGATCGGTTCCACTTCTCCGTAGGGTAGTAGGGAGTTTCTTTACGGTTTTCAGACTGGTGTGAGAAGGGTAGGCAATGAAGAAGGAAAAATTAGAGTAGTAGCCAGATTCCAAATACTGCGTAGGCAAACATAGTATCATGCCATCATCGATCAAGCAACAGTGTCAAAGTACTGCCAGTGCAGTACAATAGAAATCACGGTTTGAAATACCCTTCTTCACTCCATATTACTCCTTTCACTTCGCAGTGCTCTCTTTCTCCATTCACCTACCCACAAAGTGACTACTTTACATTTAAGAAGGATAACTTTTCCATATCACGACCTTTATCATAATCACAAAGTAACCCGGACGGACAGACCGACATACCGACATACCGACATACAGACAAACCAAGTTACTGCTTTATATATAAGAAGGATTAGTAGAGACCATTTGTTTTTAGTTATAGCCAGAGCACTATCATTATCTATAACACCGTTCGGATCGTCTGATTCGAGGTAGGCTCTCTTCCCCTTTGTGTTGGAGTTCGTTTGTTGGTCCTTCAGGCCGGAGTTCAGTTGTGGCTAACTTCAGGGTTCCCATCCTGCCGCCTGTACAACTATCAAATTCGAAGCTCTGGAGCGAATGCAGTAGGATTTGTGAACTTACGGTCGCACGCAATTTATGTGTAGTAGGTGGGCTAAACGTGAATTCGTAAAGGTTCAACTCAACACGGAACACTCAATACTCCACTGAAAACCCAGCTGGACTTCCAAGTTAGCATAACATCTGTACAACACAACTTGATAAACCGAAACGATCTAGCACAATTTCTCTGGAATTCCTCTTTGTTTTACTCAACGCGAAGTAAGGGGACGCTAAACCACGAAATGGTGGTGCCCAAGAAATTAAGAGGACGTTAAAGCACGAAATGGTAGTGCCTAAGAAATAAGTTCTCTGAAGCCGAAGTAAGATTTACTGACCTTCCTTTCCTCTTTTTCTGCAGGATTTGCACTCCTTTGTGAAACTGATCGCCTGCAATTGCAATAGCTGATATTTCGAACTTCTTTTCTAGTAGCTCTCACCGTTTGGAACGCGGCGTCTTTGTCTTCAATTTCGTTTTCTGAAATCGGAAAACAAAACAGCGATCATATTGTACGACACTCTTTTGTATGAGAAGCAGAAACCTTCGTCAAAGACCTTAGCCTCATGAGCTGAGGGTTTTCAGGTGTGTTCGGCTTGGCTTCTTTTTCGTTGCTTTCATTGGAGTCATCCATAACGACCTCTCTGAAGGCTCGTAGATGAAAAAAATGTAATGACTAAACTCTCTCTTAATTCACAGAAAGGAATTCGAAGCTTCTCATTCAATACGCCACAACAATAATGGACCGGTCTACTCTACTCGCCAACTTGTTCTTTTTATTACTGTATTCGATAAAAAAAGATGCTGCATTTGATAAGAAAAGTGCCAAGTGTCACGAAAACCTTTTATTTGACGTCCATACTCTAGTACGACGCAAAGACTTTGAGGAATGCTCGCATAATCTGCTTCGCCACTACATTATATGGGTGGCGATACTTCTTCCCGAATCCCCACAGCAGGCGGCAATGGTTTCGCGGTGATTGCCGTATCATTCCTTTGGGAATTCATAGCTTTCCCTTCATAGCGTGCGACTGCACTTGATCGAGTGCGGCGAGCGCGACGCGGTTTTTGGGAAGAAGTTACCACATCCACATTATACACTAAACATTTGCGCTATCTGTCTTCAAACCGAAAACACTAAGCAAGATGGACATTAACCATTAGGTTGCTAATAAGGAGCAATTACATAACTCATTAATGATATTAATTGATTATAGTTATATATTATATTTGTACTAATTATAGTATAACAATGTAATAAATAATAATGTGTAATAATATACAATACATATAATATCACATTAATTAATTAAAACTCGTCGAAGGATCACAACGGCACCCAATGTTGGGTGCCACTGTGGCTGTTTTTCTTTGCACGTTTAAAGCTTACTCAATCATTTCATGTTTATTAACAACTTTGAAGTATTTACATTCATCACGGTCCATATGAATGTTTTATTATAGTTTACTTATCATATTTGTCCCAGAGGCCTTGCAAACCGTAGAAGCCCTGATTTGCGAGCGTAAGACCGGTCTCAGCATGGCAGACACAAAGCACCAATTGATCCTCAAGGGTTTCGAATGCTTAACGAATTCCTGCTGCGTACCTTTATTCCTACTACATTATCCGGGCCCCGACAGTCCATTGAGAAACCCTAATAATCTATAATGAATGAAAAAACATCTTGATACTTCTATTAAACAGGAGATACGGCTAAGTTAAGCAAACCAGTGAAAGGGCTCCTTCCTGGGATAATGGTACCTACCGGTGGGTGCCATTCGCACACGAAAGCAAGGGGGCGTGGCCTTTTGAATGCACCACGTCGAAATGTACAATACATTGTCGTCAAAGAGTTGAAACAATTTTTTCTTCACTTGTCCTTTCGAGACCTTATCACTCACNCGAGCAAAAACGGAAATTTAACCGCTGCCAATATATTTACTACTTGAAAGATATGTCCGAATTGTGGCAAACCTGACCCTGTCTCATTAATAACCGCACCAATTACCCGGGACTGTTCAATGCAGTGTTTACAACCAGCCACAAAAGCAATGACAGCTGTCTTCGGATAAGCAATCACAACGGATGGCGATGAAGCATAAGCCTAAAGAGTTTTCAATCAAACTACTGTTCTAAACATTCCTCCATATCAAACCAACAAAAGATAGAAATTTCTGCTAGGAAATTTCTAAATAAATTGACAACGATAAGTGGGAAGCTTCGTGAAAAATTCAGATTAATGAACGCTTCCAACAATATCTCGCGGAGACACAACTAAGTTACTATTTCTCAACACATTTTCTAGATATTTATTCAATAGTGCAGCACAATAATGACAAAGTGGAAAGACAATGCACCTCCTACACTAGAAATGTTGTCAATTTCATAGCAAGAGTTTCATATATCTGGACACCTCGTAAAAATACTGCTTCGTTGAGATACTAGTTATGGCCATGAAGCCGTGCCGGTGTGCTGATCATAAGAGGGATACCAATGCCCCAATATCCAAGCTGAAATAGACTAATGAAAAATGTTGGTGTTGCCGTCAATCAACAAAAAAAAGTCAAATTATGAACGCCTTTTTCGTCCCCAGACTGAAAGAAAACATGACTTTCTTGGCTAGGCGTCTAATTCCGTTCCAGGTTTCTGAGTACATTAGCGCGAGAAGACCGTCACTTAAGCACATCCAATTCTCGAGTTTGAGATCATCATGTATTCGATTCGATACCTCTTATGGGGCGAGAAAAAGGGGGCAGAGCCACAAAAATTCACTTGAACACCACACCATTGGCTGATCATGTCGCTTGCCCACGCAGAAAATGCTCATATAATCAAGTAGCGCTAGTAAAAACAACGGATGTGGACTATAAACAATAGATTATTGAGTTACGGGCAATAAATCAAATACATCTTGTCGAGATTTAACGCAGAAAAGGCTCAACGAAATTCTACGTGGAAATGCATTATACCTAGAGATGTCTTATCCTTCCAGTCAAGATTGCCGGATATCGTCATTTCTGTCGTTCTACCGATAAGCCTGCCCTTCCTAGTTCTGATGTACTGAGATGGATCCGATATGCTGTAATCATTATAATTTTAAGTCTGACGAAAGCATTGATTTCAAGGTTCGAGCGATAAAAATATCTTGAAAAACTCAGGAAAAAGAACAAACGAGCACAATTAAGGACGATGTTTCGGGAAGCAGCATTACACTACATCCAAAAACGTAACATCATAGTACATAAGGAAACAACAACACAGAACATACCTATCGCACAAATCGGGAGTCGCTGCCGCCGGTGAAAACCATGTCAAATTCGCGCTTCCTTAAATTAGGAAGATGAAAACTGTTTGGCACTGAATAGGAAACCGAGTTTAGCCTTTTTGAGAATGAATATTGACAAATGCTTTCAAATTAGCATCGCATTAGCAGATATCCTACTTTATATAATTCGCTAAGTATGTCTGTTGGTGTGTCGGTGTGTTTGTGTGTGTTTGTTTGTGTGTGTGTGTGTGTGTGTGTGTGT